GGCCGTGCTGCATTAGGGATAAAAACAGGTGGACTGCCCACCCAATGTGCCCAAATGTGTTTGCTTGGCAGGTTGGGTAGGATGCCCTCCTGCAGAAGTAAAGTTTGCCTTGCTGAGTTACTTTGGAGCATGTGTTTGATTCATTATGGCACCCCTGTATTTTTAACACATGCATTCCTAGCACCACCAAAAAAAAAAAAAAAAAGAAAGAAAGAAAAAAGAAATTCTTTCCTACCAATAATGGCAGGAAAAACATTTCTCAAATATTAGTGCAAAAAAGATACCTGTAAGGAAAGAACTGAATGAAGAAAATAGAGAAGAGAGATGGCTCAACTTCAAGACAAACCAACCTGTGGAGGGGGGCCCAGGAGAGAATGAGATCCATCTACCCTTAATAGCCTGGAATATATATAGGGGAGTGAGGGAGTGGGGGAATTTTGCAGTTAGGCCATTGCTAGGGGGTTATCAGGGAAGGGGCCTTGTGGACATCACCTCCCTTCTTTGAGGTGGTCACTGTTCCATGTCAAACCAGGTGTTTTGGGGATTCTAGTCTTGGATAACAATTTCCTTTCTTTGCATGGTGATGGAATACAATTTGGGTTTTTTTGCCTGATGATGGAGTATAGTCTGGGGCTTAGGTCAGGCTGAGTCAGAGTGACCTTCAGGTGACTCTTGTTCTAAGATGGAGGATATGTTTCAAAATGGTGTTGCCTATGTCAAGTTCTACCTAACAGTACTGCGTCCATATGATATGATAGGGGGATTCTATCACCTACATGAATAAAGAGCTATAACTTGGGAAGCCTCAATGTAATATAGATGTCAAACGTTACCCAAATGATCTATAAATACAATGTAATTCTACAAATGTCTTAATAATATTATGAAAGTCCATCTTGAAGAGAAGCAGCACAATAACAGCAAAGAAAATCTTAAAGCAGAAGAACTAGAGAAAGCTTGACCTTCTGTATACCAATATACACTATAAAGTTGTAATAAGTAAAAATGTGTTACTGATGCAGAAATAGACAAATCAAATAAGATCTATATATGGCAATTTAGAATGACATAGGTTAGATTTCAAATTAGTGAACTACTTATTTAATTATATTAGAATAACTGATAAATGGAAAATGAGCCTTACCTTATTCCAAATCCAAACATAATTTCCAAGTAAACCTAATAAGATTTCAAGGAAAGATAATAAATGTATTACCTTTTTGAATTCTTAAGATGAAGAAAGTTTCCTTTGTACTGCTGTTATAAAATATTACAGGACAGGTTTTTTACAATTAACATGAATTTAATAGGCCCCAGATCTGGAGGCTAGGAAATCCAAGATGGAGGAGCCAGTGTCTGGAGAGGGCCTTCACACTGTATCACCTCATCCAGTGGCAGAGGGCAAAGAGAGGGTGAAAGAGCAAAAAGGAGTCCAACACATCCTTTTATAAGGAACCCATTGCTGCAGTAACAAACCATTCCCAGAATAGCAGCATTAATCAATTTGAGGACAACTCTTGTGGCTTAATACCCTCTCATTAGAACCCATTTTCAAATGCTGCTGCATCAGTGATTTTGTTTCCAACACGTTTTGGGGGGGACACATTCAAACCATAGCATTAAGTATACCACATGTCCCAGAAACTATAGTTTTATTTATTAACGTACAACAAAGGCTTTTTGTTCTAGTCCTTGGGATATACCATTAAATAATGCAAAAACCTTGCCTCACATTGAGCTTACATTTTACTATATATATATGAATATCTGAGCCCAAAAAATGCATTAATAGATGTTAGAGKCTGTAAACAAGTCTGGATGACACCTGGCATTTTGCCAGAGGGAGTGGTTTGTGAAGTAASKAGCCATTAAGTGTGGAGATTCCTTATTGGTTGACTGCTGTATTGAGTTTATGTTAATTAAGATAAGCTGTGTGGAATGTATATATACAGCTCCTGTCCTACAATAAACGGCTCCCACTCCTGCTGTATCAATGCTCGTCACCCCCCAGTTATTTTGCTGCAGCCGGACTGCGGCAAATAGATATATAATAATAGATAATATAATAATAGATACCATGGAAAAAATAAAAACAGAGTAAAATTAGTGGGGAGGGTGGGKAGGGGAGGACTTGCTGAAGAGGACATTTGAGAGAGGTAACCAGATTCCACAGARCATACTCCAGTAAGGCTTTTATTTAAAGGTACAATAAGAGATCTAAGCGTGGGGGCACATGTCTGTATTACCAGCACTCAGGAGGCTGTTTCTCCAGTCTATTCCTCCTCCCCAACATCCTCTTTTTTGGAATTCTAAATTCTAAAGAAAGCCCTCTGAGATAAATTTTCTTMTCCTCAGTTTAAAAGATAACATGTGGCTAGAAAAGTTCTGTGTCTATCTCTGAGGGACTCCTGGGTGGCTAGGGGCTTTACCCTTAGCCAAGATAAACTAAACAAATCCCACTCTTGGCAGTGGGATTTATGTGTGATTTAAACKGAAACTTGACTGATGATCCCTAGGGTCAGTTTCTTTACTCATGGTTTTCTTTCTTTTTGTATAATGACAGGTTTTCAATGAGCCTAAACAGTTAGTAGCTGGGCTTGATTGCATGACCAGAGCGATATTGAAAACTCCTCTAGGAACTTCTGCTTTGAGCTCTCCCATAACCAAGATGGTTGTATCCAGACAACAAAGTGCAAATAAAGGTCAGGTGACAACAAGGACCTCRGAGTACTTGCACTTCTAGGAGTCTTATCTTCCCTATTGTTATCTCCCTCCTCACCCCACCCCAACACCGCCACCCTGCTTTTATTTTCTTCCTTTTGTTACTGGGAGGCACAACATCCTGACCAGAGTAGGAAGAGGCTAGGCTCCAGTAACATTTGAAGTCAAAGTGGTAGAAAATGGGTTTACTCAAAGATAGCTGTGAAGGAAAATCGAAGAAACTTACTGGTTCAAAGTTTCCATATCTGAAAGCTCTGGGACTAGGAAAACCTTTTTAAGCCGGGAAAGGGAGCCAGACAAAGGCACAGACAGAGGTTTATTTAGGAAGGTAGATACACATTCAAGAGAGAATGCGTGATGTCTCAAGAGTGAGAAGCAGCCCTCACTTGGGGTGAGAGTCCAATATTTATAGAAGGGCTGTACTGGGGCTGGACAGGAGGCAGATCCAGGGTGGAGCTGCACAATTTCCTGCACTTGCATGTTTCCCTTATTTTACAAGAGCACTGGCCACTGGGCCAAGGTTGTGGGCCAGGACATGGGCCAAGGTTTACAACTGTGTTTTCTCCATCTCAGTGGATTGATTTTGCCTTTCAATGGCTTTGGGGTGTTTCCCCACAAGATTCCATATTTCTCTCTCCTTATTCTATATCTCTATCTCAATAATACACTTAAATTATACTAAGATAAGCAATATTTAAGAATGCTCAACATTTCAAGAGGGTCAAAAAAGGGAACCCTAATATATTTTAGAAAGACATGCACATAAAAGACAATGTGATAATATTCTTTAAGCCAGCCATTGTACTTCTAGGAATCTAACCTGCAGAAATATATAAGCAATCAAATATATCATCTAAGATTGTTATTTATTAAAGMATTGCGTATAACCAAGAAAATTTTGAAACATTTAAAATATTGGTTAAATAAAATATGGTATGGTATTTGTACTATGGAATATTATATAATCCTTAAAAAGAAAATACTCCCTTGGGGCTGGGGTTGTGGCTCAGTGGTAGAGCACTCAACTAGTGTGTGTGAGGCACTGGGTTCAATTCTCAGCACTGCATATGGAATAAAATGAAGGTCCATCAACAACTAAAACAAAAATTGAAAAAAAGAAAATATTTCCTAAGAAAGAATTCCACAATATCTTATTAAACAAAATAAGCCAACTGCATAATTGTATGAAAAGTATGATCCCATGTGCGGTCTTTTAAAAACTACACATATGTATTATATTACAAGTTTAATATATATAAATTCATAATGTAAACCAAAACTTCAACAATGGTCACTTATACAAAGGGGAACAAGATTAAGGGGAGTAAGCACAAAAAGAAACGTTCACTTTTATTCTTTGTATTTCTGTATTATTTGAACTTGTGCTACAATGAGCATGAGTTTTTGCCTCATTGTTTTTTATGAACATGTAAACATATATAATGTGAAGCAACTTTAAAAATACATAAACTTATTATGGCAGACAGAAATGTGGTTTGATATATTAAATGTTAGCATTAATCATTTCTGGTTTGTGGATTTATACAGGATGTAAAATTTTGTTGCTGATCTGTATTTTAATTTATATAAAAGAATATATTATTAGTATGGTGAAAGAATTTACATATAAATAAAAGGAAAGAAGTTACTACTCTGTAATTTATAGAGAAACAGACCATGTATCTACAAAATTGGGCAAAGAAAATAAATGAATAGGAAAATCACAAAAGAAGAAATATAAATGGTTAATAATCTTAAACTCTCTAAATTTTAAAGAAYATAATTTGTCATAAAGTAAACCTTCAATAACTCATTAATTGTAATTAATGATTCTAATTATTACAATATATGCATAAGAAATCTGATTATGTGACCATAAAAAATGAGTATCACAGAAATCTATGGCCAATCTCAACAAAGTTCAAAATACTGAATGCAAGAACTTTTCACAATGATGCTATTATATTCCATCAAAAAGGAAGCCTCTTCAAAGGGCACTCACTAAACCCCCAAGAAATCTGGCAGTTACAATTCTAACTTAGGAGGAATGGCTCCTCTGAGGTCAATAGCCCAGCAGGGAGTGCCCATTCCTCACAGAGGACTCACCTGAAGTTTGACTTTCTGAAAACTATTAATTACAAAACACAGTGATACTTTTGTTCTACATAGGATAAAAGGGAAGAGGACATGGAATAAGAATAGAAATTGAGCCAGGCACAGTAGCACAGGTCTTTAATCCCAGTGGCTGGGAAGGCTGAGGCAGGAGGATCTCAAGTTCAAAGCCAGCCTCAGCAACTTAGTGAGGCCCTAAGCAAYTTAGTGAGAGCCTGTCTCAAAATGAAAAGTAAAAAGAGCTTGAGATGTACCCGAGTGGTTAAGCACTCATGGGTTAAATCCCCAGTACAAAAGACAAAAAAAAAAAAAAAAAAAAAGCAACAGAAGTTGAGCAGATAAAAGGTCAGTTTTAACATTCCGAATCCACATTGTCTCCCACATCCTACCCATTTCTATCTTCCCCAGATTCTTATCATTGAAGAGAAATGGACCCCAGGGAGCTCAGTCTACACTCCCACCAATGTAGCCTTGAAAAAGTAAGCAACGTCGTTTTCATAATATTTCTCTATAAAAGTAATACGTGATCTCAACAGAGAAATAAGAATGAAAATTAAAATCACTGATAATTCCATCACCCTAAAATAATCCCTTTTAATATCTTGGTATATGTTGGTCTCTCTTATCATTTCTGATGTCATACATACTTATTTAAGCATTCTCATGTAACCTGTAACATAAGCGTTTTCCATGTTGCTACTATCAGTGACAGTAATTTTATTAGTGATATTGTGGCTGTGTGGACGTACAACCCAAGAGTCTTCATGTTGGGAAGTGCTGAGGCACAGATGAATTCAGGAGAGTCAACCATTGGGGACCATATTTTCTGTTGGTTTTAGGATAAAAGACTTGAGGACTCCCAGAGGTAACTCTGGAATAGTCCTCCTGCAGTATTCCCTCCACCTCTCCAAGGGGGATTTAGGCCAGTAGTCACCAGATCCGTGCTTCTTTTGAATCTCTTCCAGAAATACCAGGGGTAAGGCAATGGAGACTAAATGCGGTTCTGATAATCTGGCTCTTCCTCTGGAGCTTCCGGGTGCATGAGAAGTGAATAAGTGATTGTGTTCTCAGCCTAGGAAAAGCAGAAACACGCAGTGGAGATCCACACCGAGAAGAGGTCATGGGACAAACAACAACAGAAGAGACAGCAGGGGAGAGGGAAGGGACAGAAGGAAAAGGAGGTGGCAGGGGTTACTCACTCCGGTTTTGGCAGCATCCTCAGAGTCAATGACATTGGCTGTGGGCAAAAAGAAGACAAATTAGCCCACGCACTGCTGGAGAAGAGGGCTTATTTGTGCAGCTGCCAAGGCTACAAAAGCAAAGCCCAAACCAGACCTGAGTCAAGGACTGCTGACCCCAACTCAGGCCTGTACACCAAGCTTCATTCACCCACCCTGGAGTATCCCAGTCTCAGCGGTCCCCACTGTCCACGCTGGCAAAGGAAAGCAGTCTTTGCACCACATTCTTTTTTAGAGAATTGCAGAACTTTCCTAGAAGCAAATCAGGCAGATTTGGGGATCTGAGATATTGGGGAAGAGGATAGGGGTGTTCAGTCTCAGGGTAAAATGAAGTCCAGATTTTTGAGGGCCACAGGCTTCAAAGAGGGAACAACAAAGCCATTTCTACATTGGCCAAATGCAGTACCTCTTCTTTGGGGACTTTGAAGAATCAGGTACACCATGGCTTCAAAAAGAAAAGAAAAAGTGAGGAAGAAAGAGGAGGGGAGAAAAAAAGGAAAGAAGTCAGAGAAGAAAGGAAAGAAGACAGAAAAAAGACTCAAAAGACAGAAAAAAAGGATGGAGGAAGGGAAATGGAGAAAGAAGATAGGAAGGCAAGAATTGAGAAAGGGGGAAAGGAAGGAAGGAAAAGCAAGCAATAGGCATGCGGCACACTCCTGTGGTCCCAGCAGCTGGGGACTTTGAGGCAGGAGTATTGCAAGTTCAAGGCCAGCCTGGGCAACTTAGTGAGACCTTGTCTCAAAACATAAAAAAGACTGGGGATGAGGTTCAGTGGTAGAGCACCCCTATGTCCAATCCCCAGTACCACAAAAAGTCATGAAAAAAAGGCAAGCAAGGGGCAGGGACAGAACTTTGATAAATATCCAAATTCCTACCTAACACTTTTCACACTGGAAAAGTGAAATTAGAGCAAAAACATGTGGGAATTTGGATATTTAATAAATAAATTTTAGCTGCAGGGTGGGCTGAACACTGGACCCTCACTCATCTGTTTCCTTATCACTTGTTTGCCTCAAGGCTGAACGCTCAACCCCCACCCTTCTGGTGGAACGGAAACCCACATCTGGCCCCTGCCTSGTCTGCTTAAGGGCAGAAGATGACACCCTAGCAATTACTGTGAGATCCAATCACTGTACACCAACAAGGCAGCGTGCTGACCCAGAGACCCCCCCCCTAGATTTTGACTATAAAAACTCTCTCCTGCTGGGCACCCCCACACACACTCTCACTCTCACTCTCTCTCTCTCTTCTCGCTTTCTCCGCTCCTCGAGCTCCTGCGCTCTCGCTCTCTCTCTCTCTCTCTCTCTCTCTCTCCCTCTTTCTCTTCTTCCTTCTCTGTTTATCAGACACCGCCTCAATAAAGATCTCTTGGTCGCTGCGAGTGTTGTGGTCACTTTCCTTTCAAAAAGCAGCCTCAGTAATCTATAAATCATCATTTCCCTGGAAGTTGGGGAGGAGCCTGAGACAATGTCTCTAGTCTCTTCACGCACCCCCTGGACACAAAGAGCCCTTATTTGCTATGTTCCAAATTCTGGAACAAACCACTTTCGGAATTCTCCTTCTATTACATTCCTCAACAATCCCAGCAACTTACTATACCTTTCTGGAAACCATCAGTTCCAGCGCTTGGCTGCATAGATGCCTCGTGAAATATTTATGCCAGAGTAGACAAAAACCAAACAATAAAGTGGTGAATCCAGCTGTGTTTGGACTTTTTTTCTACATCTGGTTTGGCCCCAGATATGGACTCAGGCCCACATCCCACGTGGCCTGGCCAAGAGACACACAGACCCTACTCAAAGTGCAGCTAAATGAGTAACAGATTGCTCAAGCTCTCAAATCTGTTGGCTCTGCTCTGAGTCATACTCCAGCCATCTGAGGTGAAATCTTCAAGGGCCTTTTCTTCCTGCCTGTTTCTGCTGTCACAGAAGCTGCAGTGAAAGCTCCAGCCTCCTTTGTGCTCTGATTTTAACCACATTCAGGAAGTCTCCTGGAATATTACTCATTTTACATACCTCCACCTGGGCCAGAAGTTGGATGATTACTGGCTCTCAAAATGTCAGACCTATAAGGGCCCAGAAGTCACCCAGACCAACCCACTTCCTTTCTCAGTGAGGTGACTGAACTCCATCAGGGGGAGTGACGTGCTCAATATTGTATTGTATGATGATGATAGAACCAGGCCAATATTTAATAAACTGATGCAAGTGGACATCAGAATCAACCATTGCCCACAAAATAAAACCCACTAATGGCTCTGGTTCCCCCAGAATTTTCTGAAGCCCAAATCTCCTCTTAACATTCCACTAAGAGCTGAGTTTTATCATACCTACATATTTCTCAACAAATCTAAGCTTTTTCCTCAAATCTTCCCCCTCCTTTCCTCTTAGACCCCTACCTCCTTAATCCTATGGGTCTTCATCTTACACCTTCTTACCCCTATTCTTTGTCAACTTTGCCAGATCACAGGAAGATCCAAATATCTCTGACTTCCTGCTCTGCACATTTTCCCAGATTCCTAGTTCCAGAWATTTGAATGCAGCCCTCCCTTCTCTATCTAAGACAGATGTTCCTTTTCTCTTCTCCAGTGAACCCCTCTCTTTGGGCCCAGGAGTTAGACTCAGAACTGGCCAAGTGATTTGAGCCCCTGCCMTCCTCCCCCTGCCCGCTCGTCTCTCCTGTGCTTAGGCTGAACTTACATAAGCCACTTGTTGCTGGCTCCGATCCATCTGGCAGCCCTGGGTGGAACATCACTGAGCCCCCAGAGGGAATGCTGTACTCACCTAGTTCCTCAGGGAGGGTGTCTCCCATTTCCCTGTGCTCAGGGTTTCCTGAGAGAGCTAGGAGGGGCACAGAGGAGGTTAGTAGGGTTATGAGGTGGGGCTTTAGTGCTCAGGACCAAGGACCAGGGGAGGATTGGGTTAGAACCAACATGACCCATCCCTCACATGCCTCCTCTCCTACCTACTCCCAGCTGCCCTGCCCAGGAACCACTCTGGCTGGTAAAGGCTAGTCAGGGAGCCTTTTAGGCCAACAATCCCATGGGGATTCCTAGGAGTATCTTCCTTTGGCTTACTCTGCCTTTTAAAAGCATGCCTCTTTTTCTCGGTATCTYAGTACCTCCATATTTATTTATTATCAGTAACTGGGGTCCTGCTATGAATGAATTGCAAAGTGTTTCGTGAGATATTAGTAGTATTATTTTCTCTTTCTCGGTGGCCTATAGCACCCTTTTCTCTTTCCTTGACCACTGTCCTAGCCTCAAAATTCCCCATTTCTATATCTTGGCCTCTGTGCCAGGAACGTTCTTCTACCCCAAACATCACCTCCTCCACTGTGGTAATTGCTCATATATATGTGCCTTCTACTATCTATTAGGCATTGTTATGAGAGCTTAATCCTTATTCATTGTCAAATAATCCCATGAGGTGGGTTCTATTAGTATCCCCATTTTCCAGATAAGGAAACTGAGGAACAGAAAAGTTGAGCAATTTACCCAAGGTCATATTGCTGCTGAGCTAGCTGTGAGCTAAAATTTGAATCCATGTAGTCTGGTCCCAGTCTGTACCTCAATCACTACAATATAGTGTCTCTCCATGAGAACTTCTCTAACTGCTCCAGAATGAGCTGGCTGCTATAGTTTGAATCTTGAGTGTCTCCCAAAGACCCTTGTGTTAAACCTTTGGTCCCTAGAACAGTGGTACTGGGAGGTGGTGGAACCTTTCAGAGGTGGGCCTAGTGGGAGGTCTACAGTTTATTGGGTGTGTGCCTTTGATTTGCTATAGACACATATTCCCAGTCTCTTCCTTGCTTCTTGCTTTCTGACCACGAGATGTTCCTACTGTGATGTGCTGCCTTGTCACTGGCCCAAAGCAATAGAGCCAACTGATCATAGACTGAAACCTCCAAAACTGTGAGCCAAAATGAACCTCTTACCTTTACAAACTGATTATCTCAGGTATGTCATGATAGTGATAAAGCTGACTAATACACTGGGTTATGGTGCCCCCATTTATATCACTATAGAGCCTTTTCATTTCTCTGTCATTGTTCTTACTCCATCTTACAATTATGTATTTGTACTTCTGTCTTCCCCACACTGCTGAGTACTCCTGAAGTCAGGAACTAGACTTCTTTATCTTGGCATCATCTACAGTGTCTAACACAGTGCTTGACACAAAAACAAGTTCATTTGAGCCTTGCTGAATGGAAAAATTAATAAATGAATGAATGAACAAAATAGAGCTGTATCTGAATGTTAAGGACTTGCTAGTTCAAATATAGGGGTTCCAGCAATATCTAGGGTTAGGGCCTCTTCTAGGCAGGAACTAATAACAAAAGTCAAGGAAAACCACAAACCTGAAGTCCGCTTTCGCTTGAGGTAGATTGTGACTACTACAATAGCCACAATGGCTACTACAACAATCCCGATAACCACAGGCACAATGATCATTTCCAGTAAAGGGTGGGTCGACTTGAGCCCTAGGAAAAACAGATCTGAGAACTTGCTCCCTGTTCTCACTACCACCCTCTCACCCTCCTCCAGCAGGATGGTCCAGTGCCCGTCACCTGAAGCTCCTCTTTGACTAAGTCATCCACAGGTGTAGTACTTCACCCCACAACCTCATCCGCCCAGAGTTTTTATTCAAGTTTCTCCACTAAACTAATAAAGGTATATTAGTGAGTATCTAAGAGGAGAGGGACAGTGCTCAGGGGCAGTGGGGGATGGTGGGCATGAAGCCTCCTACTGTCCAGAACATGCCAGGCCTTCAAGAGGAAATGGTCAAAACATGGGACATGAGAAAAATCGAGGTGAACTTCAGCTCTTAGCAATTTCCAGGAGTTTAAGGAACCTCTGTACCACTGAGAGAGAGCTCTATTTCACTACTATTCTCAGTATGGTACCTATGTTTCAAAGTGGGACGACAGCCTTGTCACTTATCACCCAGGAACTGGGGGCTCTTAGCTCTGGCTCCTACTCCTTCCCACCGGTTTCAACAAGGCCTCTACAACTCTCTCCTTTGTCTCAGCACCCAACTTTGCTACCATAGCATTTCTCAGGTCTCCATGTGGTCTATATGACTTTAACCTAACCCCTGTGCAACCCTTCCCTACATTTTTAACAGAGTTCCCATACTTTGGACAGTGATGGTCACAGATTTTGATGAGTAGGACGTCCTCCCTACACTTCCTCTGCAGTAGTAATCACCACTGTGACTTCGGTTTGCTGACGGGATGGAGAAGTTGACATTGAAATGGGAAAACTGCTTGGAATTTCCATTCTGGTAGAATGTGATCTTGTTCAGAGGGTTGTTCTTCCAGCTGTGGCACCTCAAAACAATGGTGTCCCCCTCCTGGAACACCAGTTGAGAGGTCTGGAGCAGCAGCCAGTCTGAAAAACACAAAAGGACAACAGGACCCAGGATGTCATGGCTCAACTCTGAGACTCAGACCATCACTACTGGTGGAATATGATGTGCAGAGGGAAGGGCTTAAGTTTGGAATCAGGCAGTTTAATCTCTAATTTTGGATTCATTCATTTATGAGCTCTGGATTCTTGGGAAATTTTTAACTCTTCTGGGCCTCCGTTTCTCATCTGTGCAAACAGGCATTATAACACTATGCATCTAACAGTTTCTCGAACACAGCCAGTATTCCGAACACACTCATCTTCTCTGTTCTTTCCTGGGAGAAGGCAGCTGCAGTGCTCTCCTGTCAAGGACACAAGAGACTTGGATATATAGTCCCTTCCCTAGGGGAGGAAGGGAGGAACTCAGTCTGACTGAGAAAACGACATTTGAGGACAATGCAGCAGATCCATGTTTCAGAAATAGCAGAAATTCTTAAACCTCCAACGAATGTCAGTTTACTTGATAAATATTAATAAATGTACAGCCTCAGTTCAATAGAATCTCTGAAGGCAGCAGTGTCACAGGTGAATTGTGACCTTGCTGTACATTTTTTGAGGATATTTGGGAATAAGGTAATGGGAGGTGCCTAATGAAGAAGAGTAACAGTAACAATAGTCATTGTTTGTTTGCTTTTGTGGTACTGGAGATTAAACCCAGGAGTGCTACACCCAGCCCTTTTTATATTTTATTTTGAGACAGAGTCTTACTAAGTTTCCCAGGCTGGCCTCAAACTTGTGAACCTCTTGCCTCAGCCTCCAGAGTTGCTAGGATTACAGGCAAGTGCCACCATGCCTGGCTAGCAATAGATGTTGTGATCACAGAGTGATCAAAGAGTGGCTCTTTATAGAGAGCCTACRATTTTGTCATTGATCTGTTCAGCAAACATTTATTAAGCCCTGCCCTATCTTAGGTCCTGGAAATACACAGATGGAAGGAGACGCAGGGCACCCAGCRTATCATTTCCCAGGTACTGAGATCAGGGAAATGATAATTCTCTCCAGAATATGACAGGTGAGGCATTAGTATACGCATTGTTCAGATGAGGAAACTGAAACTTAAGCATTAGATGAATTCATCAGATTTATATGGCTAGTAGTTTCCAGGGTCAGGATTCAGTCATAGTCTGTGTTATTGTTGTTGTTGTTGTTGTTGCTTGCTTGCTTTCTAATTTATTTTTGCTCTACCATAAAAAATGGAAGGGTTTTTGTGATGAAGGGACTTCCTTCTGCTTCTCTCACACTCAGCTGTGTGTCTGTGGCTTTTGGCACCCTCTTGCTCAATCAGRACTATTGCAAAAATTAATCATTCATATACGCTGAGAAATTTCTTAGGAATTTGGACCTTCACCCGATATACGAAGTAAAAAGGTGGGTGAAAAGGGAAATGACTGGGCAAACAAGCACCTCATGTCGATGTTTCCCAGTAAACAGACCACCTCCCTTTTCCACAAACCTCTGCAGTGTAAGCAGATTCAATCTCTCCAAGGCCCCTCCCTGAACTTCCTCTACTGACCAGAGAATACATCCAGATGCACGGGGTCGCTGAGGCTTGTCTGGTCCATTTGACACCGGTACTCCCCATTGTTATTGTTCTTGGCCTTAAAGTTGTAGCTGGGCTGAGTCTGGCCTGGGATGGGGCTCCCATTGTGGAACCACTGAGTAGAGTGGTTCTCAGGATTKCGGGTCCCTTGACATTTCAGTGTCACATTGTCTTCCTGTAGCACCTGGATCCATGGGGGCTCAAGTTTCACCACAGCCTTCGGGAGATCTATGGAGGGGCAGAGAGAGGAGACAGTTTGAGCAAAGGGAACCCCAAAAGCCTAAGCAGACTTTGAATCCCAAAGAAGTATCTTTATTCCTATTGGGGGCACCAAGAGTAGAATCAGGCCCAGGAGGCTTTGGCAACTGAAGGCAATTCTTATTACTCATACAACCCACCACCAGGGGCCCAGGGAACTCTCAGGGCACTCAACTGATTTTCAGAAGGAGAGGGCAAGAGGAAAAAGGGAAGCCAGTTGTGGTGGAACATGTCTGTAATCCCACCTACTTAGGAAGCTAAAGCAGGAGGATCAYAAACTTGAGGCCAGCCTGGGCAACTTAGCAAGACCTTGTCTCAAAATAAAGTAAAATATTAAAAGGGTTGGGGATGTAGCTTAGAGGTAGAGCACCCCYGAGTATAATCCCTATACCAAAAAACAAAAAGGGGGGGCATGGAAAAGGAGAGAAGCAGGCAAGGTAAATACCCTAAAAATAAATAACATGCCAAGAATTGTTCTGTCTCTCTGTCTAACTATCTATCTTTATCTCTCTGGATATTCACTTTGCTCCCCTATAAACTGAGGCACATTTGGACGCTAGTGATAAATTTTTTCCAAAGCTTCGTCTAGACAAGAGGGGACATCTGGCAAGTGGAGATGTCAGACATAAGAGTTAGAGATCAGGTTTCTGTTGCAATCTGATGTCATTCCTTATCCTTAAATAGGAGGTCAGAATGGCCAGGTCCCATACTCAAGCACACAGGAGTTTCTGTGATCTCAGAAGAATAAAGAGAGGAAGAAAAGCTAGAGGGTCAGKCCTGAGGGTGGGAGGTGGCTGAATGTACAGATGAAGAATTACCTGGCAGAGGTCACTCCAACAAAGCTCTCTCTGTCAAGAGAACAGGCCTTGAAGCCCTCAGATCTACTCAAAGTAAAGAATTTAACAACATGGGACAATCTATGCATATCATATTATTCTGTATGTCCTTGAATTTTATTTGGAGAGAGAGGAAACTTGTTTTCTAATGAGGTTTTCAAAAGAAAAGTTATATTTTGATATAATGCATAATAACTACACATATTTATGGAGTACATGTGATACTTTAATACATATATACAATGGATAATGATCAGATCAGAGTAATTGACATATCCATCACTTCAAACATTCATCATTTCTTTGTGTTGGAAACATTCAAAATCCTTTCAACTAGCTATTTTGAAATACACAACTAATCATCGCTAACCATAGTTTCCTTTCTGTATTATGAAACCCTAGAGATTATTTCTCCTATCTAACCATACTTTCTAACTGTATCTCAGTACCCATTAAATATCCTCTCTCCATTCTACCCCCTCCCTTATCCTTCCCAGGTTCTGGGAAGTAACTACAATTCTGCTCTACTTCTTCAAGATCAACTTTTAAGAAATTCTTGATTTTTTTGTTTTCTTTTGTTTTTTAGTTGAGAGAGGATAAAATTTATATCTTCTGTGACAATGTTTGTAACATCTCACAGTAATAGAACCAGAAGGGTTGAAGCACCCACCCCCTTCCTCCTTGGAGAGAAGAAGCAGGGACAGGGCATCTCTGGGAGCGATGACCCTTTCCTGGATCTGACCTGGTACGGAAGTTGGTTGTTGGTCTATTCAGAGTGCCTCCAGATAGAACATTGGGGCAGGGAGAGAATGTAGGTAGAGTACTTACCAGGTATCCCAGCAACAGGAGCTGTAAGAAAGAAAGCAAAGATCAACCAGGACCTGAAGCCCCACAATGAACAGCCTGCCCAGAGTTCTTTCACCCTTAGTCCAACCCTCAGCCCACACATCCCTAGATGCATTTTCAAAAGTACTGAGAGCTCCCTCCCCAATAACAGAAAGAAAAGAAGGAAGGAAGGAAAGAAGGAAGGAAGGAAGGAAGGAAGGAAGGAAGGAAGGAAGGAAGGAAGGAAGGAGGGAAGGAGATACAAATCACTGTCTTATTTATTTATTTATTTTTACATCATTGTTTGGCTTAACACTTGGCTGATTAAAATAAAAATACAACAGTAATCCCAGGCAGGAAGATCACAAGTTGGAAGCCACCCTCATCAACTTAGCAAGATCCTTTCTTAAAATAAAGAAGAAAAAGGAGTGGGAGTGTAGCTCAGTAGTGCAGCCTTCACTGTGTTCAATCCTCAATMGTGCAAAATATAAATAAATAAATTTTAAAAATAAAACAAAGTAAAAATGCCTCTGGAAAGTTCCCTGTTGGACTTTACATCTGATTTATGCTTCTGTGTAAATGATTTTGCCAGTCTATCTGTTCTTTTGCAAGGAGTGTATAGAGATTACATATTGTCCATGATCATTGTAGAAAAATGGAAAATAGGCATGATAAAAATATTATTACCTTGGCAATATACCCTGTGGAATTTTCCCCATGAAAACATACACATGTTTATGTACAGACATACATAAATAGCAAATGAGAAAATAAATTATTTAAAAAGTATTCTCTTACCTAATTTTTCACTGAGCAATATAAAATCCACTAAATTTATAAAATCTGTCTTCATAGTGATTTCTTCTTCTTCTTCTTTTTTTTTTTTTTTTGGTAGTACTAGAGATTGAACATGGTAGATGGTAGGCAAGTAGGCAAGTGCTTTACCACTGGTGCTATTGAACTGCACTCCCAGTCCTTTTTATTTTATTTTGAGGCAGAGTCTCATTAAGTTGCCCAGGCTGGCCTAAAACTTGTGATCCTCCTGCCTCAACCTCCCCTGAAGCTGAAATTATAGACATGCACCACCATGCTAAGTCTATGTTGTCATTTTTAACAATTGCATTCTGTCCTACTATTTTTATTTTGCATTTCTGCTGCTTGATAATTAAACCTTTCAGATTCTTGCCAATAGGCAAATCTGAAAGGAGGAAGAGTGTGCAAAAGGACACCAGATCTGTGTTTTCATGTGCAGGCATGTGGAATSACACTGGGTTAGGGAAAGAACTTCCCAATTGGAGGCAAAGTAGGGGCCACAAAGGGCCAGGAAAACTGAATGGAAGTGGATTTGTGGGCACCATCATTGAGTGAAGCAGCAAAGCAGGGTCTTTAGATGAATTAGAGCCCAATGCCTATGCCTGTGTAGGGCATGTTTATGTGTCCATCTGTTTCAGGGGGGTTTCCTCTTGTATTTGGACTGAGAGAAAGTCAAGAGGCTTTCAAAATATGTGTGTACTTTCAGGGACAAACACATGGAATGTAAGTGAAGCAGAAGCAAGGAACCAGAAATGGGCACTGTGGAGAGTTGGCCTGGGAGTTTGGAGAACCAGGTGCTGGTCCTGATGTTACTACATCTCTAATATGTACACTTAGACCCACTGTGCTATTCCTTTGCAATCCAAAGCTAATCAACAAAACTGCATTGAATTCCTCCTGTCCCACAATTCATCCTGAGTTCACCTAAAGTTCACCTGAAAGATCTGAAGTCCCTGTCCCCCACTGAAACCAACAGTCTAATGGTGGAGATAAGCATATGTATAATTTAATGTAAAAGATATTGTTTCATGACATTGGAGGAGTGTAGATAAAATACTATGGAGGTTCAGAGGAGAAAAAGATCCTAAGACTTGGCAGAATTTGGAGTWGGTAAGAAGGAGAATCCCACAGAGGCGCTCATAATCATCATGTACATTCAAGGATTGATAGGATTTTGACATGTAGAGAGAGGAGACATTATTCTATGGGAAGGACTGGAAGGTAATTGGCAAAATTTCTAGAACATTCCAAGCTAATTTCTACTTCATTTCTTATCTCTGCCAAAGCACTTCTGATAATGAGGAAMAAAGCTAAAAATCTAGGTAGGAACATACTTTGGAGGCTCCTAATGCCAAAAGATGTGGCAATGGGTAAAAGCACAGAAAGAGTTTAAATGTTGACTTTGCCACTGCCAAGTGACCTTGAACAAAATGACTTTCAGTTTCCTTGCTTGTAAAGGAGATAATGACAGTGGCACCTACTTCGTAGGGTTATTATAAGGATTAAATAAGAGGATAATCCAGATAAGACTTGACATACAATAAGTTTAAAATAAATATAAATTAACTTTTATGTTTGCTCTTTAGTTCAGCGAACAGTGGAAAGTCACTCAGAATGTTCAAATTGGAGCCCAAAGTGCTGTGTCAGATGAATTGGAACAGGGGAAGTAGAAAGAGATTAGTTAAGAAAAAGACAATTATTGTGATCCCAAATACACATGGGTGACCTGTCCAATATCCGGCTTCATTATTCCATGACCTACTCATCCCCAGTGAATGATTATACAACTTAGCACACTTGCCCACGTTATACCCAGAAACCATCATCACCAGAAGCCATACTGATTTCAAAAATCACAAAACCGTATATCCCATGCTTCAATCACGACCTCCTCTCCTTCCACTTCATCTGCTCAAGTACAGCTCCCATAATCATCTTGACCTCATCAAAGATCCCAAAGCATTTACTCTACCACTCTATTCCTAAGCCCACACTTGCCTGTATCTCCCCCATCTAGCTTATATTTGATGATTCATCATTATAATAATCTCATTGCAAATCCCCTCAAATCCCTTGCCCTTTTCTGTCTCAATCAAATGCACATGTATTTTCCATATATTTATTTGTTCAGTTGGTTTGACAGTAGGAAGTAAAGAAGAGGGTACAGATCTCAGAGAAAGAACAGAGAAGTTRGCACCTAATAAGATGATATAAGTGGATGGCATAAGTAGATGACCAGGGAAAAGGTGGTTGTGCTCATGCACATATAAATATTAGAAGGATACAAATATTTWTAAGAGGAAGATGGCAAGTTGGACTTTTAATATATTTTGTTTCTGAGTTCTCATTCAGAGATGTCCAATTAACAGAGTTTGAAATTATATAAATTATATAATTATATAAATTGTCTATGTGTATATATAAAAGTAAACAAGAGAAATAGGAAAGGAAAGAGAAAGATCTTATACTTTAGGTCAGCAAAACTGTCTTATCATGTTCACTGATAAGTCCCCAAGTCCTAGAATAGTGCGTGCCACGTAGAATTAACATGAGGTTTAAACAAGGCAGTCTGAGAATTAGCAGAAGCAAAGGTGTTATAAATGAAGTACATTCACACATTGCCTGGCTGTAGAGGAGAATCTATTGGAGGCACAATGAGGAACATGGTTAAGAAGGGTAGAATCGGAGCTTTTCCAGTAGGCAATGGACCATCACTGAAGGCATGTATGAGTGCAGTGAGTCGGCCATAGCTGTACTTGAAGATGCTGTGACTTCATCATGAAACATGAAAGGACGAGAGGGGAGTCAGGAGCAATCAAGACACAACAAAAGTTGATATAAAATTGTCATCAAGTGGTGCTGGAGATGTAGCTCAGTTGGCAGAGTGCTTGCCTCACATGCACAAGGCCCTGGGTTCAATCCCCAGCACCACAAAAAAAAAAAAAAAAAAAAAAAAAATGTCATCAAGTAATGATGAGATGATGACCTAAACATGGATTACCAGAAAAGAATGGAAAAGATAAGCGTAGATACCAGTGATTTAACAAAAGGCAAATGGAAGAAAAATCTTTCCCAAGAGTCCTGCCCAGGTTACTGGCACTATTAGCACAAAACAGAGGCACATCACCTCTCTAGGTCAGCCTTCCCACATAATAAATGAGGGGATTCAGAGCTCACCTTACATCTATTCTACTGTAATCCACTCAAGGGGAAATTCTTTCTCTTTACCTCTGYCTCCTGCAGCCCTATATCCTCCAGCATTGAGAGCTGAGCTCTCCTAGAGCTGACTGGATTTCATTATCAGTCCTAGCAGTAACTTGGAGGAGCTGCCCTTATATGTTTAGGGTTGAAGCCCTAGGAATTGGGCTAGAGGAAACAGTTCTGCCATTAGGGGTCCCTAGGGCTTCCCCTAGGCTCTTACAACCACTTAGCACCATCACTTCCTGTCCCCTGGTCCACACCTGAGAACATGATCAGAAAATGGTCTTCTCACCTGGCTTAGCACACTGGCTTTCTCACTGATCAGAGCTAGGACCCACACCAYGGTCTATGCAGCACCATGGTCTATGCAGTGAAAGGAGGCATGCGTCGTTTCTGATTCCACAATTGCTGATTCCAGAATTGCCCAGTTTTGTGGATTCTCTGAGCCTCGGTTCCCTGGATAACCCAGATCCACCTATGCTTCTGCCCAGGGGGTCTCCTTTTGTGTTAAGAAAATGGGCTTTTGCCACATTTAGAGGTGAGGAGAGTGGCCATTGTCACCCCACAAAATGCCTCTTAGAGCTTCCTTCACACCCATCTAAGGTAGCATTAGCTTAAGATTTAGTYCCATGTAAAACACAAATTTAAAGGGAAATACTATGGCCATCCATTTTCCACTCAGGTAGGTATAGGTCACTGTATTTCCTTGGGCAGATTCTGATGTTGAGGATGGCAGAGCATTGGGAGCCCAGGGACCCAGTGAAATTGACTAAAAGATAGTTAAGAAAAAAAAAAGACCAACCAGAAAAAAAAAAAAGAGCCTTGCCAGCTTTGATTTTCTAAGGGTTGTTAGAGTTTGATCTACTTGCCTCCATGCACCTGATTTTCCCAACACGCTTCCCGTGTCACTGTCACCCCCTATCCAAGCTCAGTCCCAACCCAGGTATTCCTGTTCTTGTCTCCCTTCTGTGAGCCCCGACTCACCCAGAAATAGCACAGCTGTCCACAGTAGCATAGGGCCCCGAGTCTGTGAGGGCTTGGAGTCAGCCCAGTCACTCCCAGTGGCAAGAAGAGGTAGGAACAAGGGGACTCCCATCACCCCCTAGAATAAGTTGGTTCCAACAACACAGGCTTCTCTCCAGGTTTGGCAAATTCCAACAGAGAACAAACCAATTCTGAAGTTCAAAAGAGGAAGTGAAAAGAAACGGTCTATTTAGTCCTAGGCTCCTCCCCTTCCACCCTCTTTCTTTTCAACTGTTCCCTCCCAGAAGATTCAGGCTTTCCCAGAAGGAGTCTGGATCAGTTCAAGTCACTGAAATTTTAGAAAATGGGAAGCAACTTCCTTTTTCTGGGGCAATAGCTGGCTGGGGCCTTTGAGAGAAAGAGGGAAATGGCCTCCCTAACTCAGCTTAGAACTTCTTAACCTCAGTCCCCATCCTCCTCAGAAAAGATAATTGAGAAGAATATACAGGCAAATTCTGGTGCCTCTTCCATTTGGAGATCCAGATACTAAAATCTGGACTCTTCCCCAAACTGACCATAGGGTCTTGAGATCACCAACCATCATTTGATATTTCTCTGTTAGAATTCCTGAGTCACTTTTGGATTGTGGAAAGAGAGTAGGGGTAGGATGATCACACTCATCCTCATTATTTTCCTCCTGTATTTGTTCATTTATTAATTTAATGAACATCCCAATAAATATCTACTGAGCACCAAGTTGGGCCCTGGTTCTTTATCCTGGTCATTTCTCTCATCACTGTTCTCACCACTGTAGCATGCTGATGGTAAGTCCAAGTTAGAATGCCAGATAGCTCCTCAGAGCTTCAGGTCCTGGGTCTGTTAAAAAAAAAAAAAAAATGAAGATCATCATACTTATCAATTCAAGCAGAGTTTTTTAACCTCAGTGTTAATGACACTTTGCACCAAATAATTCTTGTTGTGATGACCTGCCCTGTATATGTAGGATGTTCAGCAGCATCTCTGGTCTCTACTCATTAGACGCCACTGGTTTCCCCCACTTGTTAAGAAAGAAAAATGACTCAAGATGTTGGCAAATGTTTCCTGGGGGTTTGTGTGTGGGAGGAATTACCCCTGGTTGAGAATCAGTGAACTCAAGATTTTTAGAAAATAAAAGAATATGAGTCAGCTGGGATGCAGCTCAATGGTAGAGTACTTTCCTAGCATGTGTAAGGCTCTGGGTTTGATCTCCAGTACCAGTACAGAGAGAGAGAGAGAAGAGAGAGAGGGGGAGGAAGAAAGAATATGAATGTGCTTGTTATATCATGGGTGTCTAATGAATATAACTTATTTTTTCTTGTTTTCTGTCATCATCCTCATTTGTTTACCCTTAACATCCTCAGAACATGAGATAATTGTGGGATCTGTCTTGGGGGTCCTCTCCTACGGCCTCTCTCCCAAATGCTCTTTCAGGAAGCCAGCTGTAATACTCAAGGAAGTGACATTGTAAAACCTTCTCACGCTCTGTGGTCTTCAGAAACTTTCAGCAGCCCCACCCTCTCTGCCACATGCTTTTACGACTGGCACCATCTTATTCACTAACCCCCTTCAGCTCTTGTTGGGATAAACACCAGTCAGTGCCTAGGAAGCCCTGTTGTTCCTGATGGTAAGATAAGAAGGACTTCCAAGAATGTGGTAATATGCAAAAGGAGAATGGAAACTGGTCACTTCCCTTGTCTCCAGTCTTTAGGTGGGGATCAAAGCAGAGTGTCCTTTGTTCTAAAGGAATGTACTCATAAAATATCTGAAGAAATCTGTCTGTGCGGTAGACACACAACCTATTCTGTATACATTCCCTCTTCTTGTAGGTGAGGTGTGGCCCTCCATATTGTCACGTCTGCTACCACTGAGGAGTTCACAAGTAAAAAAAAAAAATGTCCAAACTTCTCCACTGAGTCCTCTAAGTTCTTTCTTTGGGATAACTAAATCTGCTGGAGCTTTTTCAGCTCTGGTACTAAACAATCCTTAACCAATTTTTAGGTAAAAATAATATTTTTACCAGTGAAGAGAGAGAGGTCAGTGGGCTGATATCAATACTTGACAAATATCATTAAAGGGATGGAGACATAGCTCATTGGTAGAACACTTGCCTAGCAAGTGTGAGACCCTGGGTTCCCTATTACCACACACACACACACACACACACACACAAATTAGAAATGGAAGTTACATATAGCTAACAACTTGATATAGTTAACACACCCTAAGAAACAAATACAATACTTATATGAAGCATATGTACACTTATTTTTGAGGAGACATTAAGCTTATATTATCTCTAATTTTTACAATCATCCCAGAAGATAAATATTACCATTGTCATTTACACCTAAAGAAACTTAGCTTCAGAGAAGTTCAAATGATTTGTCCATGGCTAGATGATTAGTAAGTGGTAGAATCAGAATATAAAACCAGGTCTGTCCAATGTTAAAGACTTCATGTTTTCTTTTTTTTTTTTTAATTTTAATTTGTTATATATGACAACAGAATGCATTATAATTCATATTACACATCTAGAACACATTTTTCAAATCTCTGGTTGTTCATAAAGTAGAATCACATCCTTTGAAGACTTCATGTTTTCTATAATGAAACTACTACCTACATGCCTTATATGAGTCACAAGTGCACTGAACCATTGAGTGGCCCCCAGGCTTGGGAATAGCTGGGTGGGCCAGGTGCCCTGTGTGAGCAACCTCATTTGTTTACATCATTACACGTGTGATTTTCTCTGAGTGCCACGATGTGAAAATGGTCAGAAAGCTCTGCACGCTGTACATGTTAATTTCCCGAATTGTCTCAGGCCCTAGATGTCACTACTCACCATTTCACTGAGATTAAAAAACTAGACCTCTTTTAGACAGCTTATTAAAGGAGGTCATCACAGAGCTGGGAGGGGCATTTTCAGACATGCTGAAACTGAAATAGGAGTCTCTTTTTCATCACAACTGGGAAAGCACAATATAGATAGATAGATAGATAGATAGATAGATAGATAGATAGATAGATAGATAGATGGATATTTCTAAAAGAAAATGCTTACAAATATAAGGCATGCTATTTAAAACTGAAATATGCCAATCAGAAAAGAGTTCTTCAAAAAGGAGAGCTTGATATAAAATGTGTGTTTTTGGCAATGGAATAGGTGTGAGAGACTCAAAAGTCATGAAAGATGAGATAGACCCAGATCAAAATCCTCATTCCTTCTCAGCTGTGTGATCCCAGTTATATTATTCATCCTTTCTAAGCAATGTTGCCTCATCTATAAAATGGACATTACCTCAGTCCTTACTTTATAATGTGGTGAAGATTAAATAAGAAAATGAGAGAATAATTTCACTCAGAACCTGGCATATAAACTTCATCTTTATCGTTATTATCATTAAAGACTAGAAAAGTGTAGTTCACTGCCTCCACTAGGGTCTGGTGTTAATAGACCCACTTTGGGAAAAGCAGATAAATGCTATAAACTCAAATTTTGTTTCCAACTTAGACACTCAGATTCCAGCCCCTTGATCTTCAAGGCACTCTCTTCTCTACATTCTGGTTAGGTTTTGTTTCTCTTCCTCTTACTGTCCTGGCCAACCTTTCAGTGGATCCCTGTGATTGCTTTATCAGTGTTTTCTAGAGCTTCCTGGTACAGCCACTTCCCCGTGAACTGAAGGACCCCAGGCTCCAGGCTGCTGACTCTGGAGGAGGAAGCCTGGCGKGGGAGGCAGAAAAGAGAAATGATTGAGCTAAGGAGGCTGTGGTTTGAGGGATGTCAGCTAGATCCAAGMAGCAGCATCACCAGTCTAGACTGGAAACATCTTTGGGGAACTCAGGTCTTTGTGTTAAAGGATTGCATTTTAGAAATGCAAATACTCGAGGCTATGTGGATCATTAACTTTAGAATGTAGATTTGTTCACAATTACTTCAGAGAAATAGCTTGGTGAGGAGGTTTGATGAGAGTCAGATAGATGAACTAAAACGGGCCCATGCAAAGAGACCTCCCAAACCATGACACGTTATGTGGCACTTGCTTTTTTTGGACGGAAAGTTTAATGTATGCTTATGAAAGAATAGACATGTTATTCATGAAAATGTCACCCACCTGAGGAACTTACACAATGTGCCCACAAGTGATTAATGGCTAGGCTGTTTGACCAAAGAGGAATACTCTGACCTCTAAGTATAGGRTGGTGGCCATGAGACTTGATCCCTCTCACCTCCCAAAATCATATATATATAGTCAGAGAGCTTAAACCTGAGCATGTCACTTGTCTTCTCATATCTGAGAAGTGAGGGGTGCCCATACACTCCCTCTGAGTGGGCTGTTCTTAAATAAGTCTTTACCTGTGCCTTGCTTACTGACTCATTATGTAATTCTTTCTGTGATGGATGTCAAGAACCTGAAGGTCCCCCTCCAGTGACAAGAGGGATAGAGGCAATAATGTAGGGAAGAGAGCCCTTCCTAAGGAAGCCAAGACCCTTGACATAGTGAGGGGTTTAGACAACAAAGGGACATTTATCTCTAAGGACCTCAGTTAGAAAGGGAGATATGACACTCAATATGACCCAGCTGTATGCCACTGTATGACCTTGAGCACTGTATGACCTTGAGCATAGCACTGTTTCTCTGGAACTCAGTAAGTGAGGGAGGTAAACTGGATGCTTTTTACCAGATGTGTCTTTTGCAAATATTTTCTCCCCAAATGTGGTTTTTCTTTTCTCTCTCGCTCGCTCTCTCTCTCTCTCTCTTTTAATATCTTCATCTTTATTTATTTATTTTTATGTGATGCTGAGGATTGAACCCAAGGCCTYACACTTGTGAGGCAAGCACCTCTACCACTGAGCTACAGCCCYAGACCTCTTCTCATTCTCTTGACAATGTCTGTTCTTCTTCTTTTTTTAGAGCTGAAGGGGTTTTGTTTGTTTGTTTGTTTTGGTACAGGGATTTGAACCCAGCAATGCTTGACCAATGAGTCACATGCTCAGCCATTTTTATTTTTTATTTTGAGACAGAGTCTTGCTAAATTGCTTAGGGACTAAATTACTGAGGCTGGCTTTGAACTTGCCTCAGCCTCCAAGCTGTCTGAATTACAGGCATGGTGGTGTATGCCTGTAATCCCAGAAACTTG